ATAATGCAGGCATGTACATTGTCTGAAATCCCCTTTATATTTCATAAACCCTGAAAATTGTGATATGAAGTTGCCAAGTCAATACTACCTGTACTTCATCCTGTATGCATTCTTTTACAATGATTATTGATAACTGAAATCTACTGTGTTAGTATGAGTATATTTAAAATATAAAACAATATTTTTTGGTTAATGAGAATTGCAAATAACTCCTGGTAAACTGTATCCTGTCCTACAAAAGTCTGGTGGAATCAAACTTAGAGAATTACTAATTTTCAATAATTTGGAGTTTCAAAGCATTCAAATATATATTCAAAGACATAAAACTATTAAATCCACTCGCACCAACAACCATTTAGGAAACCAATCATGATGGTTGTTAGAAAGCAGAATAACACAGGAGTCCTAAGCTATTGAGCATAAAATTCCAGGTCCTTCAAAATCAGCCATGCAACACTACTTTAAACGTCTTCAGCACATACTTTTCACATCTCAATGATTACGCAGTTAGCTCCCATTATCAGAAATAATTCCCTCCTTACCATAGTACATCATTATATATTGGGATTTATCACGATAATGTAAACTGTTTGAATGGCTTTCTCTCCCAATAGACCACCCATATGAATTTCTTGAAGGCAAGAGCTGAGTTTATTCATTTTTATATCTCTAGCACTTGACAACTGGTAGGTAGCAAGGCAATGTGTTGCTTTTGGAACCAAAAGATCATGATGAAGATTCATGTTTTAATCCTAGGTTCAATAACTTGACTTTCTAGTTTCTAATATGTAGATGTGGGATAAAACAACCTATGGGGTTGTTGTGAAATTGGAAGATATTTATTTATGAAGTGACTAACCCAGTGTCTGCCGCATATAAGGTGCTATTACATGTGCTCAATAAATGTTAGTTGAATTGATTTTTTACAATAGTTCTTTCCATTTATATATTAGCTCAAAATCTTTTCAGAATTTTCAGAATTCAAATCACCATCTTGATCTTGTTCCCTCACTCTCATATACCATAATTTAAACTGCCATCTCTATAAGAATAAAAAATGTTACTGTGTATTCAGGCAATTTAGGCATTTGAGGGAAGTACGTTCAATGCTTCCCAGGATTAAAATAGTTTAAAATGTCCTCAGAAAGGAGAACTAAAGTTCAGGGCATTCAGCTTTATTTTCTCTTCCATTTCTTACTAAAAGGGAAAAATGCTTCAATATTTATAAGACTTAGAATAATGGATGTGCATAATTTTCCCTTAACTTACATTTCTGCTTTTTAAACCCAGTTTAAACTCAGTGAAAGGCCAAGAACATAGACTTAATTATGCAGAAAAAGGATGCTTTAACTGCAGTGCACATTCAATAGACAAAATCCAAAGAAAGCAGTCCTGCCTCAGACATTACAAATCAATTCATTATATTGATTTGGAATGAGTTGTGCTGTAATTTAAAACATAGATTACCACAGGCCAAACTAAAGTTCTATTTCTAAGGCACTTTTGCTTGGCTACACACATGACCCAAGAATTTTCAAAAACAGTGATTTGCTTAACCTTATAAAAAAGCTATTGTATATAAATAATAGGTTTTAATGGACTAATAATTAAAATGTAATCAAAAGTAACTTTCAATAGTATGCCAAAAAATGTGTGTTTGAGTTAACTAATAACTTCAATAAATCATTGATATCTTATTGAGAACAGGCAATGTGCTTCTATTTCAAAATGATTTATTCCACATGCAATGCATAGAATGTTTCCATCTCATTTCCTAATTCTAATGTAATCCTTGAAGAAAATGTTAAGATTTCATTCTGTCTTGTTTGTTTTTCATGGAAAAGGCTGCTCCTTGGGGAATCCGCAATCACACCTAAGAGTTCTATTGTCCTCCTCACATCTTTTGGTGACTTGCTATTTTATCTTAATGTAACTTAAACATTTTATTGTTTTTTTCACTTGTCAGTCTTAAAAGGTAGGAATAATAATAGTTGCCACTATATAGGGTGTTTCTCAAAAGCACTGAAACTATAGTTCAGAAAGACTCATTGAATTTCAATTATGCATTTAACAAATGGGCATATGAGACCAACCAGTTAATTAGAGAAATGGCTAAAATGCATGCTTCTTTGTGAGGACAGAATATTTATCAGTAATTTTCTTCATATTAAAATAACAGAACCTACTGAATGCAGTTGTTCTAAAAGTATAATAAAATAATAATTTGCAACTGAGTTCTTCCTGAGACAGCCTGAGAATCGAGACAGAATGTAACAAGGTCCTTCTATACCAATAAGTATCTTCTTCACTGAAATCTCTCCTGGGCCTCAGTTTCTCCATTGGAGCAATGATCTCATTAAACTACATGAACTTTCAATTCTACACTAATTTTAAATGTTCTAAGTTCTTAATAAGTTAAACAATCAATTAGTAACAGAAATCAACTAATCTGCTCTTATCTGATATCTAGATGACATATGAACCTATAAATATACAAATATTTAAATAATCCATAAGTTATTTAAACATGTGTATAGAACTATTAAAATCCAAGAACATGAAACAGTTGTTGATATGACTTCCTAAAAAGTCTTTATTGTTTCTGGTAAAATGACACAAAAGTTGTGAAAACCAAATACCTCAATGAAAACAAAAATGTCTTGCTTGTCAGGTTCCTTTTCTTTAAAATGAAAGAAGTGAATTACAACAAAATTATGGTCTTTGAAACAAATTATAACAAAACAGGATTTTTAAAATTATTTCCATAAATGTCAAGAGCAATTTAAGCTTGTTATCCTGGTGAATCAGAGTAGTTTTGCTTGATAAGAGCTTTTTTAAAGTTTGCCACAAAATTTCAAAATACATAGCTACCTTCTCAACAATAAAAATAAATGTTGCTGTGACATTTTTCCAGCAAATTTTAACAAGATTCAAACTACCTAATCTTTCTAATCTTAAGTATTCACATTTTTTTCTGGTTATCGAATTAGCCAGAAGCAAAGATAAAACAAATCTGTTTTTCTGTTATTTGATCTCACAATGATAACAAAACTCAGTCTCTAAACGAGTATTTCTAAATACACTTATCCATAATTTTCAGCTGATTTCAAAAATAATTCTCGAAATAAAATTAATTGGAGATAAGCACAGGTCTTTATTTAAGGACTCCTTACTAATTGTATTGCTCCTGTGGTATTGAAAGACATTCCTTTCCAAGCTGTTTATGTACCAAAAGCACAATGTTTGCTAGCACTGCCACCTGCTGTTGACTCTAAATCATTTTCTAGTATGCATAAATAGAAATAAAAATAAATGAAATGGCTCGGGCATAGTGGTCAAGGAAGCAAGCATCAACACAAAATTTAAAGACATTTTGTGTGCAAACCAATGACAACAGGTAAAGTGATACTTATGCTGTAATAAATCTCTTGCCATAACAGAGGGGTTTAATAGGTGACTGAAAAGGCCCCTGAACCATTTTGGTTATTCACATTAGACTGAGTTATATTTTTTACAGGAGCATTTTCGATGTGACCAAAAAAAGCAGAGGATGAAGTACCAAATAAAGGCAATAAAGTTCTTCTAGAGGGAATCAATTGATCTTTATTTAATTGAGTAAACCATGTTCAATGTATGTAGGAAGATATAAGCAAATGTGGCAAAAATTAGTGAATCCAGTTGAAGGATATACGGAAACACTATTTTAGCCTCTCTACCTTTCTTAGGTTTACAAACTTTCTAAATCAAAAGATGGAGAAAAAAGTATAATGTACCAATATATTTAATCTGCTTTGCCAGTGCAGCTAAACTTCATGGAATTTAAAAGAATATTGAAATTATATTAGAGAAACTTAATGCACATTTTAATGTCTGAGAAAAACTGAAATACTTTTTTAAAAGAATGTTGAGGAATTATTTCTTTTTCTCCCTTATTCTAGAGAAACAGTAGCCTTGGGTCTGATGGCTACTTGTGTAGTGGGAGCATTGACCTAACAGTGCCTCTGGGGTAAGAAAAGAACAAAGTGTATACAAGAACATAAGTATATCCAATAGCTTTCCCTTTTACAATTTAACAGCTTCAGAACTGCCCTGTTCGTTAACTTTAAAGCTTTTTCAGTGTGCTTATCAGAATTCCCCAAACACCGTAACTGAAAACTTCTTTAAAACATATTCATGAAAATTATTATTTAAAAAAAGAAATCTGAAGTTCCCAATTTTAGTAAGAAATTTAATCTTTAAATAATAGACAGCTTTTGGATTGTCTGTCCAATCTTCTTTCTACAAACTTCTCCTCTCACCTCCCCTAATCCATAGAGATTTAAATTCCGTGATTTAAATTACTGGTGGGCCACTTACAGCCTACCAGCTGGTGCTTCTCTCTTTTGGGAATTCAGAATTGGTATTCAGAAAAGATAGTTGAGTCTTTGATGTTTTCTAAAGTTGAGACAGGTAAACGAAGGGGCTATGGTGCTGCTGCTGAGTACGAAATGAATAAAAAAGTAGGGAGAAATGCCCATATGCAAAGAGAGAAGAAGAAAACACACATATAGAAATAAGGAAAGAAGAAAGTACAGAAAGAAAGAGAGGGAATAATGCCTGACAACTTTCTAGTTCCACATAAACACAGCAGTACTTCTACCCATACTTTCTACGACACTCCCCTGTATCCACACACACGCTTCTCCCTTGTGATACACTAGTTGGCTGTGGGATGTTATTTCTTGAAGCCAAAGTCTTGATTCCAATAATTTGCTGACATTTTTTTAAATGCAGGGAAATTTTGATATAAAAAAATTAGAATGGCAGCCAACAATAAAAAAGCTGAAAAATGTAGATATTGTCCATGAGATACAATTTTTATGTGTGTGCGTGTGTGCGCACACACACACACACACACACACACACACACACAAACTGCAATATTTCTCTTAAGCAGAGTCCATGCCTAGGAATTATAATGATGTTTGTAGTAGATGGTAATATTAGTTCAAAATACTCACTGATTCTCATGACTTGCTTTGGCCAGCCCAAAATAAGCCCAGTGACTTGTGGCACTGCCAAGCAGGAACTTTAATGCCATCTTGTAGTTCCACCACGGTATTTCTTTCCCTTTGACCATACAAGAAAGAACAATAATGTAAGGTTGTGTTAACAATAATGTGAGACTGTGTTACATGTCAACCTGCAATAGACATGTAACATGAACAAGAAATCAACTTATATTGTTGTCACTGAAATTTAGAGGTTTATTGTCACTGCAGTATAACCTGGCAAAAACTGGTACATGTCTAAAATATTCTAATTAATAAGATATTAATGGGTAAGAATGTAAATATTTCATTACAAAATCTATTTATTATTGCTAATAAGCTTATATTTTAAATAAGCTCTTTTAGATTTCAAGTTATGCTATTAATGATTTTAGGGGTCTTTACACAAATTACTTACTAAATGATAGATTTATTACTTCATTCACTTTTTTAAGAATTGCCAATACATTTATCATAAATACATATTTTGTCTTAAAATATATTTCAAAAACATTCTCATTTTAGTATACAGACTATATAGACTAATTTTAGAATGTAGACTATACTAAAAACTGAATATTATAAAACTTATTAAAACACTGAGAAAAAGGTCTTGAAAATTTTTATATGCTTCTTGTTTATTATGAAAACAACCTGATACAAGGATTCTGAATCTTTCAAATATATAAACCAAAGCAATTGTAAATAATTGTCCTACTTTCTTAATTTATAACATCAGTGACTTTAAGTACTTACACAATCTAGATATTAACTCTACTTTTGCATAAGTACTTTTTCTTAAGACAATGTCATCTTTAATAGAGTTTGGGTAACTATAAATAGCTATAAAATAAATATAAATTAGACATGAGGCCAGTTCTATGCCTCCTGCCACCATGATTAACTGTGTGACCTCGGGTAAGGCATTTTACTTCTCTAAGCCAGTGAGCCTTCATCAGAAAAATGAAGATAGTGATCTATACCTACTGCATAAGGAACCAAATAACACAATGTACACTGTAATCTCTTAAATATATTAAAATTATTACTTACCTGTGTATTAACACTACAAGATACCTTGACATGATCAGAATTTATATACCAATGGTCAAAATCCAATGCTATATAACATATTGCTATAACTCCTTATCTAAAAGAAGGGCCCCAGGGTCACAACAGAAGCAGCAGTGATGGATGCATACAGTTTCTACCAACTTTAGTAGGTAGTTTAAACTGTCGAAGTGCCAGGTCATTTTGGAGAGTAGGAGACTATCTTTGCTTCTTTACTAAACCCACCATTACAACCACAATAAATCGTATTAACGAGAGAATTTATTCATGCAATTCACTTTTTTCTTCTAGGTGCTCATTGAATGAACACGCTCCAACACTCTCCCATTTATTTTTTCTTTGCTTTTTTTTTTTTTTTTTTTTTTTTTTTTTTTTTTTTTTTTTTTTTTTTTTT